GCCCACCTACCTGCAGGCGCCTGGCCCGTGGGCGGGAAGCTCTGCCGTGAAGGTGCGACGGCTGAGCGGGGCTGAGGAAGATCTGTCTGTTAGAGCGAAGGGCGCCGTTACACAGCAAGTTCAACGGGTAGTGACTTGGTGTTGGGTACGCGTAGCGAGAGTGGGAGCCAGCGGAGGGGGTGATCTTAGGCTAACTAGCTGGGAAAAACCAGCTGATCAGTAGTTACGGTTTGTTAGTGGTTGTGTTAACCAAGGGACGTTGTTGGATGTTACAATTTTCCCCTAAAAAGATTATTAGAGGGGTTTGAGTAAGAAAATTGCAGTGGTACCTTGTAGAACATAATTTAGCCTGGATTCTTGGCAGCTAATCTCTCTAATGGAGGAAGCCCTCCCCGCTGAACCCAGGAACAACAGGAAGAAACTCCCATTCAGAACTGGGCTTAGTTAAGAGGTAGTTACCGTTTGAAAGAAAGTAACTCTTCTGTGTTAGCACTTGGTATTTGAGTTCACTACCTTTTTCTCCATGTAATAAAAACAAAGCCTGCTTTTACTGAAGAAAGTCTTACCAATATTTGTACAGCAAATAGGTTTATACATTTGAGAAAGTTTGTAATGGAGAAGGAAGCTGTTTGAGGAGGTGCTTCTAAAACACGCATGTTATAAAACCCATTATGGGCTTCAAGGAAGCGAGCTTGTAGAAGGCAAGGGTTGTAAAAGTAATTTTTAAGTTGCATTTTAAAAGTGGTTTTAAAGTATCATTAATATGAAAATACAGCAAGGTGCAGAATGTTAGTACTGACAAAAACAGTAAATACAAACCCCATTGGGAAGCACTGCTTTGACTCTTGAGGTTTCTGTATCAGATAAATATGTTCTTCCTCATTTGAACAGAAAAGGAATTCCTATACTTCAGACAGATTTTTTTTTCTAAAAATTAGAAAGCCTTGTGACAAGCCAAATATAATTTATTTATTAATTTACAACTACAGTAAAATGTTCAGAAACTGTACAAAGATTTTAGACAGTCAGCATGTATTTAACAAAACTGTGGTTCAGTTACACTGGATCCTTGAAGGAGTTCCCAGTACAACTTCATTAATCTGCTTATATCACAGAACAGTTTCCAGTTAGACATACACATTCACAACATTCAAACTCATTTGGTCCACCACTAAACTCTTCTTCCCCTTCATTTTGCAAATGTGTATGCTTTTGCCTGCCTCTTCAGCAGTCGCTTACCTAAAAGATAATTACAGTACATTTAAAGATAACAAGGCCTTTCTTTGTGAGATAAAATCATGTCAGTAAAAATTTTAAAATAAAATTGTTTCTAATTTAGCTAAATGGGACATGCTAAATGCTTGCAAACTTCTATTCCTGAGCAGATTACATATCACCATTATTACCCAAAAGCCTTCCCCACAGCCTTTGCTGGCCTCATGTCTAGTCAAAAAAACCCAAACCAATCCATCCAGATTTAAAAAGAAAATGCGTAGAAGCTTATCCTTTCTCTAGGGAACTGAAATACTGGTGCATGTGGTTTCTGGAATATGAACTTTCTCCTACAAGATTTACAGCTATTAACCACCTGCATGTGTTTCTTTTTCTTGTAACTTTTGTTATGGTAACAACGGTGAGCGATTCATGAAAAAGAAGGATTGTTTACTGAAGTTGAGGCAGCTGTAAGAAACTTAAAGATTGGCTTTCTTAATGGTTTTTGCCCTCCTTTTTAAGCAATTCTGATTTTTATGCTACACTAGAATTCAAGATTTGCATAGCTGTATCACTGTAACAGGAAAAAAAAAAGTTTTGCTAATAGTCTTTTAACAACTTTATTTTTCTTCTTTTCTATTGATAAGTATGTACTTTAAACAAAAGAACCTCATGTCATATGATAACCACTAGAAATGCAAACAAAGTTTCAGTCACTACTGATCTGGACAGGACTTTCAATTAGCAGCCAAAAAAGATTATAAGTTGTACATAATTTTATCAGCTATATTCAAAAATCTTTGCTACACTTTGTATATCCACTTCTATGCAATTAAAAGTAGAAGCTCAGCAATTCTGAGCCAAAACCTTTTAACACTTCCCCCTTTACTGAAAGTATCTAACTATTTTGATTTTCTTCCTGTTTTGGTAAGTTTTGCAAAAGGGGGACACAATGCTCCGTTCTACCTTGACCTTCAATTATCATTGTTATTTAATAAAAAAAAAAAAAGTTCAAAGCAGGATACAGCAGATTTGGAATTACCTTCCTCATCCACCTCCAGCCATTGGTGGTGGACTGGGGCCTCCACCCCAGTGATTTATTCGACCCATCCTACGGCGAGGATGTGCTGGAGGCCTGACAAGAAAGCAAGGAAACCAACATCTATTCAATTGGCATTAAACTGTTAAGCTAGAAATATAATAACACTGTCTCTAAATTATAGTAATTAGGAATTTAGAGCCTCTGGAAAAGTTGTTTAGGTTTCATGTGGAAAGCTGTAAAAAAACCCCCACTTTCATGAAAATTCTCTTATTCAAACTGTTGTAATTACTCCTGTCTCACAAGAGAAAGCTACAGCTAACAGGCTTTTACACAGTCCTACAAAGAAGTCAGGCAAACCCTTCACAACAAAGAAACACAGTAACTATATGTTTATAGAAGTGATACCCCTATGACAAAGTGTTTCCCTTTATCTGTAGGTAATCTAATACATGAAATGACTGATTTAATGTAAATCAAATGCTGAGTATAAGCAGCTCTAACAGAAGAATTTCAACAAAGGTGCACACTGTCTATGAGGCAGGTTTGAAGAATTGTTTCAGTGAGAGTTAGACTATGCTGTTACTACAAGCTATCCAAAGCTATGTTATCAGTGAGTTGCAGACAAAATACCACAGATAAACAACATTTTAATTGTCTTATGTGACCTGATTCAATGCAAATCACAACTGTAATCTGACTACATTACATAATTTTTCTAAGATAGGAAAAAAATCAGAACTAGTGCAAATATGAAAAAATACCCTCTTCCATCATTGTGTCTTGAATAGGAGGAAGATGTGTAGCCTCTTCTTCTCAAATCTGGTTGAAGAATGCTCTGGAAACTGAAAAATAAACCAGGACTCGGGTGAATTGATTGCTAGATATAATTTCTGAGATTCTGGATTGCAAGATAAGAAATGGCCTGTAAAACAATAAGTAGTGTTCGGGAATGAACGGTCTATCTTCTCAAGATTATTGTTATTTAATAAACCTTGGCAACTTTTCTCCTACATACGAAGATAAAATCTGAAGTAATTCCAAATTACTGTAAGGCTCAAACTATAAAATCTATTCTTCTGGTAAATAAAGTGCAAGAAATGCATAAACTATAAACCTGTAACTGAAATAATGAAGAACTGTTGAATACATCAAAATAAATTTTTGTTTTATAACTGGCTTTATTTGGGGCCATGAATTTGTGATTACTGCTGTCTGATTATTTTTAGATAGCCAGAATCTAATGTCACCAGTAGAAATTCTCCAAATAATATCTTAATTACTCGAGCAGCTGTTAGAAACTAGCTATTTAACAAATGTATAAGCTTTTTCTTTTTGCAGTATTAAAATTGAAGAAATGCAATAAAACTCATTTGAACTGCCAGTAAGTTAGCAGCACTTTTCATACACTTTTTATTAAATATACTATAGTGCTTAATAACCAAAGCCACCCAGTCATAGCAAAGCCTTCATATATGTTTTGGGGACAGTAGGTATGGAATGCTGAAGAGTAAATCTAACATTTTTATTGTTGTGTTACTGAGTACCTTCTACCTGTGACAAATCTAAAATAAAGCTCATCAAAATCATTTGTTTCTACTTACAAAAGAACCACAAAATCTGCTATCGACCAGAAGAAATCTGTTATAGATGACAAACGCCAAGGAGCCCGACTCCGGTTATCCAAAACTTGTCCTGTAATGGATGGAGATACAAACCATGCGGTGATGCTCAGTGGGTGACGCTGTACAGAACGGTACCGAAAGGCCCATCTGCCAGTCCAGCGTTCGCAGACAGGGTGCAGAAACTGCACTTTGTGGGCAGCGGTGGCGAGTTCCACTCCCTGCAGGGTGCTGACCCGAAGGAACCGGATCGCCACCACCAAACAGACCCAGCGTCCGTCCGGGTAAACCGACGC